ATGGTGTGCCATGAACCTGTGGTACACTAGTAAATAATGAATTCAGTTCACATTGTCATGATCTGATACTTAAAGTTGGATAGTGACTACAGATTGAGCGTACCTTATGTCATAGGAAAGCATGAGAAATCAAATGCGCTTTATTTGAAAATTTCAGCGATTTCATTCTAATCATTCCAACCAATGTGTGATGCATTAGATATAACTATCAGTAATAAATTTATCATTTGTTTGAGCAGACTAACCACCCGAGTAACTTTATCAGTAATTTTGAAATTCAAAATTGTTAAAATTTATGAATTCAAGTTACCTTTAATTGTGTAGTGTAATAAACAGTTGCGACCATTTTACAGACCAAATCTAATACATGCAAGTTGCAGCAATATAAGCGTAATATTATCGTGGCCAGTGTATTAGTGCATTGATTACGTTTCGTAGAATTTCACACAGTTACGTTGAACCTCAACGGACAATTAACTTTTTCGATGTCCAGATAGCAACCTATGGTTAAAAAGTGAAAAGATTTTAGCACTAATCAGGACTTTACCAGATGCAATTGTCAACTTTGTAGGCGATATACCATTTGGTTAAATTTTGATGATTCTATGCCAAAACTTGTTGTTGCTCTCGCATAAAGAATGGGCCCCCATGCAATGGATTTTCCTAAAATGATAAGAGCAGACCAATCCGCAATGTGGCATGATTTTCCTACTTGCAGATGGCGTGTTACCGTAGGAAAACGAACGTGCTAATTGTGTCACAGGTTCTGAATGAATTTGACAGTTTCATGAGATTTCTAAATAGTCATAACCATTACACCTGAGTCAACACAGTCTGCCAACATGGACTGTGTTTTGTATCACCAACGAATAAAAAATTTAAGCATACGGCTTGTTGGATGTGGATTGAATTCAACAACCGAATAAAGACAGTGCATTGTCACTTCAGCCTTTACAAAGTAAAAGTTGTATCTTTAAGTCTCATACACGATAATACCTTGTGAAATTCAGTTTGGAACATGCGAGTTGTAGACAGGAGTGCGCGACAGACATACCTCTTCGTGTTGCACACTGGGCGACGTAAACTCGTGAAGCAGAAATGTCTACAAACAGTCCATTCACTTCTGACTTCAAACCACCGATATCTCACTGTATGCCCTACTCCACCACTCCCACAGTTCCCATCTCAACTTTCAATTTTCTCTTCTCTTTTGTCTGTCTCCACTTTACATCTGCCATTCAATCATTTGTTTCCCTCCCCCCTCTCCCAACCCATCCCCTCCCCACTCCCTCTGCTATTTGTGGCTTTGGTGTTCCTCACCTCAGTGAAGTTCAGCCTAAACTAATGGACTAATGATAACTACCGTAATAAGACTGCAATTTAGCACAAATAAAAAATTGTATGTGGTTGTCATGTGGTTGCAAAAGACAACGAGTATATTCTTTCAATAATACCATAAGGCAGGGATAATACACTCTCTTGCCTATACTCCCAATTTGGTTCCTCCCTACACTTTTCTGCTTTAGTAAAACGCCTTCGCGTGCATGCAATTTGAGTTAAAAGAATTCTTTTTGATCTTTACCTGGTGACAATTCTTCTATCAATATGGTTTAAAATTAGAGTTGTCACTTTCGACGACAACTCTTAAACTCAATTCGAGGATTTGGAAATAGAAGTATGGAATGCATAAAATTGATCATATTTGAAAATTGGCTGATTATTTTCATTGTTTGATCGAGAAATATCCATTGGTAGAAACCCATAACTTTGTATAATCAACTCATTCTTTAACCAATAGAATTTGTGGAGTTTGAGACAACCAATAAGAGACAAGGCATGTAAGCAACACGCATATAAAAGGATCTCTAAACTCCAACTGAGTCAAAGTGAGTACCAATGTCTCGCAACTTCGCAACAGATACTCCCTTAAAGGTTTTGCTAGCTGAACTGCCCTTAACTTTGTACGAAATCATTTGTGCACTGGACCGGCATTTCCTCCAAAGGAGCATTCATTGTATTCTTACCTATGGCGATGGAAAAGCATTCATTCTTGGCGTCAAGGTAAGTTATTCATTCAAGTGTTTTAATTCGCCTTGTTTTTTTGTTATAGATTGACAATGCCATTGAGCTTTGTTGTTACCATCTCCATGAAATACTTCTGTGTATGAACATCTGTCAATATCTATGGCCTTGGTATGGGGATAACGAAGCCGCTCTTATGCGTGGAGTTCTAGACGTCTTCAAATCCTTTGTACCCAATTCGAATGCACATCGTTATTCACTAGCCAACAACTCGATGAATACACAGTGGACTAATGTAGGGACAAATGCTGCAGCATCTATTCCCCATGGAACTGTACCTACACGTCCTCTCCTTCACAATTCTGCCAATTCGCGTACTCGCTACATCATTACAACGGATGGTATATACCGGGTAAGTGACTAACCTTTCACAGTTAAGTAACTTTGCATCAATGCTGCATGAGTGCTTGATATTGTTTACCACTTTTGTAGATTCCTAGAGTGGCGGATAGGACTAGGTCAATTCTATTCAAGACCAAATTGTGCGCGTGTTTCATGAGTGGAAAATTATGTTTTGAAGGAAAATCGTGCACTTTCGCGCATGGATATGCCGAGCTGAGATCCGTGTCTGCCCATCCACGGTATCGAACGAGACTTTGCCGATACATATCTCTTGGAATGGAGTGTCCATATGGAGAAAGGTGTTTTTTCATTCATCCACAATGATCTTCCATCTTCCTCATTGATCGTTAAACACCCTATCATTGTAATTTCCATCTGCATTTT